GAAAAGGGAAGAAAAAAATAATAAAAATAAAATAAAAAATGTATACAGTATATACTAAACTGTATCAAGCTCCCAGGATGACGATCACATCACCAGCAGGTGCAGGGGAAAGTCCCAGGCTGGACTCGGTGATGGACAGGAGCTGGATCCCAGATCTGGAGTCAGGAACACTCAGATCGGGATCAAAGGCAGACGAACAGACAGGGTCCTCCTCAGACGTTGGCCATTGAAGGAAGAGAGTTGACCCTTTGATCCCTCAGCTTTTATACTGAGCACGATGTGGATGGGATGGAATACCCTGTTGGTCAGGTTTGGGTCACCTCTCCTGTCCGTTCCTCCCCACAGGTGGGACCCCTCTATACTTTTCCACTTCCGACCCTCCAACGGGGCAAATAACAGATTTCCCTGCCCTTGGTTGTTATAACAGTAAGTATGAGCAGGGGCCTCTCTGCTCCCCATCCCTTGGCACAATCAGGTCTTGTCACTGTGAGAGTGAACAGTTTCTGCACAACATGCTGTTAATTTCAGAGTTTAGTTCATTAGAAGAGGCCCAGCTAAAAAAGTAAAATTACTGAACAGAAAATTAGTTCTGTTTTACCTCAAACCAGGACACTCTCCCACCCCAGGGGACATCATCCCTGTCCCTGTTGTCACCCAGGGGGACACCCTGGCCGTGCAGCCCCCTCACAAGCGGAGAGCGGGTTGAGGCTCGGATTTCGGGGTGCTCAAACCAGGACACTCTCCCAACCTCAGGGGACATCATCCCTGTCCCTGTTGTCACCCAGGGGGACACCCTGGCCGTGCAGCCCCCTCACAAGCGGAGAGCGGGTTGAGGCCCGGATTTCGGGGTGCCCCGGGACGGGGCAGGGGGGTGTCCCTGCCCCAGGTCCCACCGTGTCCCGGTGTCCCTCCGTGTCCCTCCGTGTCCCGCCGTGTCCCGCCGTGTCCCGCCGTGTCCCGCCGTGTCCCGGTGTCCCGCCTGCAGCCACTAGGGGGCGGCCGCCGACCGCCATAGGGACCGAGCCGCAGCCCCGGTGTGTCCCCCCCCTCCAACCCGTTCCCCTCTGACACCGGAGAGACCCAGGTTGATCGAATTAAGGCCAAAAAAGGTCAAAAGAAGCCAGCGCCGTGCTGAGCTCCTCAGTTCAAGACAGACAAAGAACTACTGGAAAGAGCCCCAGTGGAGGCTACGGAGATGATGAAGGGACTGGAGCATCCCCGTGAGGAAAGGCTGAGGGACCCGGGGCTGCTCAGCCTGGAGAAGACTGGGGGGACCATCAGTGCTTATCAATATCTACAGGGCAAGAGGATGGGGTCAGACTGTTGGAACGGGTCCAGCAAAGGGCCACGAAGGTGATCCGAGGGCTGGAACACCTCTCCTATGAGGACAGGCTGAGAGAGCTGGGGTTGTTCAGCCCGGAGAAGAGAAGGCTCCAGGGAGACCTTATAACAGCCTATCAATACCTGAAGGGGACTACAGGAGAGCTGGGGAGGGATTCTGTCAGGAAGTGCAGTAACAGGACAAGGGGTAACGGTTTTAAATTGGAAGAGGGGAGATTTAGATTAGATACCAGAAAGAAATTCTTTCCTGTGAGGGTGGTGAGACCTTGGAACAGGTTGCCCAGGGAAATTGTGGATGCTCCATCCCTGAAAGTGTTTAAGGTCAGGCTGGAGGGGGCTTTGAGCAACCTGGTCTGGTGGGAGGTGTCCCTGCCCAGCACAGGGGGGGTGGAACTCGATGATCTTTAAGGTCCCCTCCAACTCTAACCATTCTGTAATTCTGTGATTCTTCTCAGTGGTGCCCAGTGACAGGACAAGGGGCAACAGGCACAAACTGGAACATGGGAAATTCAGTCTCTCTATGAGGAAAAACTTTCCTGTGAGGGTGGCAGAGCCCTGGAAGAGGCTGCCCGGAGAGGGTGTGGAGTCTTCTTCTCTGGAGACATTCAAAACCCACCTGGATGCATTCCTGTCCAGCCTGCTCTGGGTGACCCTGCTTTGGCAGGGGGTTGGACTAGATGATCTCCAGAGGTCCCTTCCAGCCCTGATCTTGGTGGAGTGACCAGGTACCACTGCCCGGTCTTGCCCGGCAGCTCCTGTCCCTACAGACCACTGAGTTGTGGACACATTTGCAACTATGGTTGAGAGCCAGGGTGACAGGATCTGGTGTTTTCCAATCCAAGGGAGTCATCCCAAATATGAAAGTTGCAGGGGGACACACATGGACATAGGCTTTAGTGCAAATCAGTGCCATTTCCCCTTTGGACCCTTTCCACCGGGATTCAAACCTTCACATTGTTTCCACTTTGGAAGTCATACTTTCAAAAATGCATCCCTGAGACAAAGCAACTGCTCAACACTGAGATGTTGATGCAAAGTGATGCTGCTCGATCTTTTACATCTTGAAATGGATGAAAAGCACTGTCCTGAGAGGCAGAAATGAAGCAGTGAGATTTTTCTGCACCTTTTGAGACACTGATCCAAAGTGAAAAAGTGCATCTTTAATTTTCGCATAGGAGAAAAACCACCCGTGTTGCTACCTGCTCTTCAGAAAGGACTTGTGTCCCATGTGCCAGATACGTGGTGCCAAGCCCAGCAGGACCCAGGATGACCCTGTGGTCCAGTGCTGTAGCTCACAGGGACATGAATGCTTCCTCAGCAAGAGAGATACCCTCCCGGGCTTAGTCAGAGCTCAGCAAAATGTACACACAGGGAAACACTCCCAGCGGGAAAACCATGACCAGGAGCCCCATCCGTCAAGCAAGATGCCAGGGTGGTCCCACTGTGCTTCCCAGGCTCTGCGCTGGTCGGACGAGGAGGTGTGAGAGGCAGCTCCCACTCCTTTCCTTCGGGATATAGCTGGGCTGAGGGTTTGGGACCTGGGCTGATGTTAATAACCAGCCTCAACACGCGACCTCGCGAGAGCCGTTGTGTTTCTGCCAGCACCAGTTGCTACATCAGCTCGGATGTTTAATCGCCAAATGAATGAGGGGATGGAAGTGTGACCGAGTCCGTGCCAGCCATGAAGGCTGCCCACACTGTGCACAATGTGCTAATCCCCCCGGCCGTGGTCGCACCCCCAGGCTCTGGGTGTTTTGGCGCACGAGACCGAAAGGCTCCTGCAGTTGGTGTCCGGTGGTAGAGCCAGATGGATCCTCACAGGGCAGCTGGTGCTGACCTGAACCCTCCCTGCTCAGGAGATAGAGGGATAAGAATCCAGAGAAGCTGTGGCTGCCCCATCCCTGAAAGTGTTCAAGGCCAGGCTGGATGATGCTTTGAGCAACCTGCTCTAGTGGAAGCTGTGCCTGCCCAGGGCAGGGGGGTTGAAACGAGGTGATCTTTAAGGTCCCTTCCAACCCAAACCATTCTATGACTCCATAAATGGGGTCCTGCCAGCTGCTGCCTGGCTGCTGTCTTTGAGGAGTTGGTGGTCACATCATAGGAGCATCTTGGGATGGAGGTAGAAAGACCAGCACTATGGCAGAGGTCCCTGAGCTCAGTTCCTGGCCCCAGCACCGTCTTACTCCTCCAGCACAAGCCCATCTCCCACACAGACAGCCCAGCCAGCTCAGGGCCTCTCTCAGCAGCATGAATTACCCCATAAATCTGCTACGCGGCATCATGGAAACCTTCCATGGGATGGGGTCCCATTCCACAGGATGGCCACGCAAGCAGATTGGTGGAGCACAGCCCACAAAAACACCAAAAAGCACCAGCAACTGAGTTATTCTGACTTTTATTTCATTGCTTCTTAGTCCACACAGTCGGTATAAAATCAGAAAAGCAAAGCAAAAAAAAAAAAAAAAAATAGAACCGAAAAAGAACCCCAAAATGAAACAAAAACAACAACAGCAAAGGCAGTGTCTGGAGTCCTCAGAGGGCAGCCTGGGGTCTGCGCAGGCGCCCCTTCAATTCATGGCCAGACACATCGCAGACGCACAGACAGAGGACAGACATCTCGCTCCGGCAGCAGAGACCAAGAGGGCTGCACCCAGAGCTGTTTCTGTTCCTCTTGACCACGGGGAGGGGGAAGAAAGGAACCTCGGTTATAAATGCTTTATTAAAAATAATAGTAAGAGCGAGTCTAAGTACAAAAGCAGTTATAGCTCATTTATATTACACAGAATTATTTCTCAATTCTAGCTTTGTCGTTTAGCTCAAGATCGTTAACTGAATTTCCAGTGAATAAGGTTAAATGGCTAGCAATATAAGGAATGGTAAATAGATAGCACCATTTCATATATCTGGCATTCGATTTCGTAGATATACTGGGTTCGCTTCTTTCTCATCGGTAGTTTAGCTCCACGGCAAGGATAAAGCACGTTTCATGGTTGGGAGCATCAGTGCACGGCACGGCACAGCACACAGCCCAGCCCCGCCGGCACGGGGGCCGGGACCACCCCCAGAGCCCACGTCGGATGGCAAGTCAACCTAAGTGATTTAAAAGCCCAAATGCCCAGCGGGTGTGGTGGCGAGGCAAGTGGGACTCAGGCACGTTAAGTCATTTAGGCACTTGGGGCAATCAAAGCCTTTGCTCCGAAATCCTTCAAACCTTTCGGAAGCGGCTCCCGTCAGATCTGGACATGCACTTCAGTCACCAGGATCACAGCATGTGGCAGGAGTGGGGACCAACCCTCCGGCTGGCGTAAAGAGGGGGGGGCGCAACTCCAGTTTACGCCAGCCTAAAACCAGTCAGAGGTGGGTTTTTTCTGATGGTTCGATACGGGCTGGGATGGGGAAGGAGAGTTCAGGTCAAAGAGGGTTTTGCATGAGAGGAAAATCACTGCGCTCTTGTTACGCTGTTAGGAGTAATAGTTCCTTAGGCACTTGCTTTAGGCTTTAAAACATAGCGCATGGTCAACAAAAGCAAACAATACTATGTACATATATGTAAAAAGTGTTATAAATAGGTTTTTTAAACCATAGATACTATATACATCTTCAATTAACAAGTAACCCTTTGAGTGTTTCCTTTTGGGGTCGGTTGGGTTTGGTTTTGGTTTTGCTGGGAGGGTTTTATTCCTTTTTTTTTTTTTTTTTTTTTTTTTTTGGTTAATTTTCTTTTCCGTTTTCTCGTCTATTTTCCCCCGCCTCCGTCTCCTCCGTGGACGTCATGAGTGCCCTTGTCACGCCACGCCACCTCCCGCCGCGGGCGGCATCACTCCCGCTTCCGTAGGATGACGTAGACGATGCCGCTGGCGAGGGCCAGGGGGAAGGCCAGCCACGCCAGGATATAGGCGAAGCCGTAGGAGGTGTTTTCCGAGGCTTGGTGCCAGTCCGTGTGCCTCACTGTGAAGATGGCCGCACCGCTCATCACGCAGAGCCCTGCCAGGGAAGAGACAGAATCATAGAATCGTCTAGGTTGGATGGGACCTTAAAGATCATCTAGTCCAACCATCAACATAACTCTGACCCAAAAAACCAAGCAAACAAACAAACAAAAAAAACACGACACAAAACAAAACACAAAAAGATACCACTAAACCGTATTCCTGAGGACCATGTCAACCCGTCTTTTGAACACCTCCAGGGATGGTGCCTCAACCACTTCCCTGGGCAGCCCATTCCAATGCTGGATAACCCTTTCCCTGAAGAAATTTTTCCCAATATCCATCCTAAACCTCCCCTGGCACAGCTTGAGGCCATTTCCCCTTGTCCTACCTCCTGTAACTTGGGAGACGAGACCGACCCCCGCTTCCCTACACCCCCCTTCAGGTAGTTATAGAGCGCGAGAAGGTCTCCCCTCAGCCTCCTCTTCTTCAGACTGAACACCCCCAGCTCCCTCAGCCTCTCCTCACAAGACTTACTCTCCAGACCCCTCACCAGCTCTGTTGCCCTTCTGTGGACCCGCTCCAGCCCCTCAATGTCTTTTTTGTGGTGGGGGGCCCAAAACTGGGCACACCACTCAAGGTGAGGCCTCACCAGCGCCCAGTACAGGGGGACCATCACCTCTCGGGCCCTACTCCCCACGCTATTTCCGATATAGGCCAGGATACCATTGGCCTTCTTGGCCACCTGGGCACACTGCTGGCTCATGTTCAGCCAACAGTTGACCAACACCCCCAGGTCCTTTTCTGCCAGGCAGCTCCAGCCACTCTGCCCCCAGTCTGTAGCGCTGCCTGGGGTTGTTGTGACCCAAGTGCAGGACCCGGCACTTGGCCTTATTGAACCTCATCCTGTTGGTCTCAGCCCATCCATCCAGCCTGTCCAGATCCCTCTGCAAAGCCTCTCTACCCTCCAGCAGGTCGACACTGCCACCCAGCTTGGTGTCGTCCACGAACTGACTGAGGGTGCACTTGATCAGACAGGGATTAGCGATGCCATGCACGGAGCAGTTCCCTGCTGGAAACCCAGAGCTGGAGAGGATAATACCCAACGCCAGCAGAGAAAACTGGTTTTATTAGTATCCCGTCTCCTGGAAAACCACGATATAATTTTTTGAGGGTTGTGATGCTGTGGGCTCTGCCCTGGCTGCAGGTGAGTGGGGATATCTTGGCCAGGCTCTGAGGAAGTGAAGCCAGAGCCCCTGGAGCAAGGAAAGCCAGAGAATTGCCTGGACTAACCCATCACAGAATGGTTTATATGGGAAGAGACCTTAAAGCCCATCCAGTGCCACCCCCTGCCCTGGGCAGGGACACCTCCCACCACACCAGGTTGCTCCAAGCCCCCTCCAACCTGGCCTTGAACCCCTCCAGGGATGGGGCAGCCACAGCTTCTCTGGGCAACCTGGGCCAGGCTCTCACCACCCTCACAGGAAAGTTCTTCCTGAGATCTAACCTAGATGTCTCCTCTAAACCCATCCCTGAGGCAAGCATCAGGCATCCCCCAGCTCTGGACCAGCCCCTCTCCCCTCGGTAGCTTATTTAAACCCCAGATTGTAGCCGGAACCACCCAGAAAAGCTGCTGCAAGACCTCACGCACAAATACTGCTTTTTAATTTAAAGCTCAACAGTTTCTTTATCACCTGCCCCCAGGCAAGAACAGCCAGGGGACAAGGATGCTCTAGCCAGGCAGGTCTGTGCCCTGTGACCTCCTGTCCTCCTGTGGGGCTGGGAGAGGAACTCAACTGCAAACCCTACTCTCTGCAAACCCTGCTGTGCCCATGGCTTGTTCCTCCTCCCTGGGTTCTCAGCATCAATGCTTGCCACCAGCGCAGGTCCCCCAGGGCTGTCCGGCCAGGCCCAGCTCCGGTACTCAGCATTTTAGCTTTGTTGTGAAGAAAACCCACCCCATCAGCGTTGGGGACTGCCCAGAGCTAAACACAAAGCCACCTCTATTTCTGCCCCAAAAAACAAGCTCTTTCAGTCAATCCCAGCAGTTCTATTATACAGTCGCGGGGCGGTTGTCGGAGCCGAGTTCCAAATCCCCTGCACAGAACCTTGGGACCACCTACATTTAACCACCCTGATATTTGAGCTGTAATTCCTCTGGACACTGCTCCTTTGTTCTGGGAAAGTGCAGAAGTGGGAATAGGTCTCGTCAACGCGCCGCTGGGGCAGTTTCCATTCTCTAAGCACGAGAGCCAACTCCCACTGCCCCGGCCCATGCAAAGAGAGCACTGCCATTGTCTGCCCAGGCTGGTGGGACAGAGAACAGGCAAGCGGCCACGCCGGTCACCTACAGACCACAGAAAAACAACATACAGCAGTGATTGTCTGCCTGAGGAATTTGGCAAAACGGAGGCGATGGTTTCTGCAGCATCTGCACTGGTTTTGGCCCAGAGAACACGCTTTGGGAAGTGAAGGACAGCTGCATTCAGCTGCAAGCAATGATCACAGAATCCCAGAATCTTCTAGGTTGGAAGGGACCTTAAAGATCATCTTGTCCAACCGTCAACCTAACTTTGACAAAAATAGACACCCGCACAACAAACAAAAAGCAACACCATCACTAAACCATACCTCCCAGCACTACATCAACCCGGCTTTTGAACACCTCCAGGGATGGTGCCTCAACCACCTCCCTGGGCAGCCCATTCCAATGTCTGAGAACCCTTCTAGTGAAAAATTTTTTCCTAATATCCAGCCTGAACCTCCCCTGGCGTAACTTGAGGCCATTTCCTCTTGTCCCATCGCCTGTGACTTGGGAGAAGAGACCGACCCCCACCTCTCTACACCCTCCTTTCAGAGAGTTGTAGAGAGCAATAAGGTCTCCCCTCAGCCTCCTCTTCTCCAGGCTGAATAATCCCAGTTCCCTCAGCCTCTCCTCATAAGACTTGTGCTCCAGACCCCTCACCATCTTTGTTGCCCTTCTCTGGACCTGCTCCAGCACCTTGATTTTAAGAGTTTTAGTCTTGCTTTGACAGGCTGGGAGGGCAAACACTACCCAAAGTCTGTTCCTGCAGGTCTGTGCATTCTGGCCCTGCAGACGAGCTGGGATGGGTGCTGCTGAGCGCTCGTTCTCAGCTCTTCTCTGCAAAAAGCTGTGGGATACATGGAAGGACCAGCCCTCGAGGCTGAGCCTGCCCTCCCACCCCATGGGGACAGCAGCTCTAGGGTGGGAAGGATGAGAGAAAAGAGATAAAAATGATGCTGAGGCTGGAGAGAGCGATGGAAAAGTTGGGTCAACAGACCCAAACCAACATCTCTCCTGTGCTGGGCTTACATGGCTAGGAGAAGTTACCTGTGGATGCAAGGGACCCACCAAGGATGAAGGGGAACTGGCAAGGGCCTTTTGATACCTTTGTGATGGCTGAAATCCCTTCAGGGTAAATTCAGCTGGACTTTGGGGCATGTTTCCAAGCAGTGTGGAGAAGGTGCTGAGGATGCCTCCTGCCCTGCTACTGCACAACAGATTGGCCTTGTGCATCTTTTCTTGCCCTTCCTTCTGCTCCTCAGTTCTCCCAAGTCACAGCTGAAGTTGTAGCAGAGACCAGCTCCTGCCCTCCTCCCTGGCTTTCAGGGCACCGCTGCCCAGTTCTGCCACCCAACAGCACCCACCAGGATGTCCCTGGCACCTGCTGGTTCAGGTCCAGCATTGCTGTTGGTCAGGCTCCAAAGCTGGAGACCCTCAGCTTTGCCAAGCTATATCTCCCTGGGTGATTGAGGGCTTCAGGAAGGGCCTTCTCATCCCCCTCCCAAGAGGGAGGTCCTCTCCAGCTCTGCTGGAGCTGAGAACAAAGCACTCAAGCAGGTAAGACCATGTCCCTGCCAGACCTGCAGCAGGGCGTTGTGGAGCCAGGGCTTTGCAACGCGTGGATGAACACCTGCAAAGCCTGAAGGCCACAGGAATTTCCTCCGTTGGCTTTAGACAGTGGTGGCCTTCCACAGCAAGCTGCAAAAAGACTACATCAGGTTCATCTCCTTTGACCAGAGCCGTCCACTCCTCCAGGTGGGATCTCCTGCAGTGCTGGCACAGCCATGTCCTGTTTCCTACCAATAACCCTGAAATCGAGGGTCACAAAGACCACAGATTCCCTGAGCCCCCTCCTCCAGCCCTGGCCAAGGAGAACAGCAAGGATGGCCACTAACGCCCACCTCTGCATGGTCCATCTGGACTCAGACCTCTGCCTATAGGTCTCCCATGTCACACTTCTCCTCTCCTTCATAGTTGCTGGGGATGGATTTGACTCATGCCTCAGGCTCAACATGGATAGAGGCAGTAAGTCTATGGCCTGACCCTGCATCCCCTTGGGACACAAAGCACAGCACAGACAGGCGGTTGCAACCTGATTTTCTCTTCCTCTGAGAATGAAGATTCACCAGCAATCACTCAGGAGAGACAAGCATTCTGCTTCCCAGACCTATTAGACAAGCTCTCAGGCAGGTAATTGCATTATTAATGCCCATTTCCCCTCCTTGTCCCTAATGGGTTTCTGCACATCTCTCTTTCCAGAGATGGTGAACTGATATGAACTCCCCACCTGCATTACAGCCAGATGCACTTATAATAGATTTCATGCCACACTTGTTAATAAAGTTTAGCTCTAAACTTCCAGGGTTTGCAAAGGCCATTTGCTTAGAAGATGCTCAGAAACTTATCTAAAGTTCAGTGGATGAGTTTTTCCACTGATTTAGTGGCAGGACCCAGGGTGGCTTTTAGTTTAACATCTAAAGCTCCAGCTTTAGGTTCTGTCCCAGACAGTCCGCCATAATTTAGCAAGAATCTCATTGCACAATCTAATTTTCCTAGTCTGAACACTTGAAAATCCTCTCCACTGGTTTCATACGTGGAGAAACACAAGCGGAGCCAGTGGCTTTACAGCATCTATATTTGGAGAACTGCAACGCAGGACACAAACAGCGGTTCATTTCCAGCGCCGAGTTCTTGAAGAGTTAAAAATAGTAGCTGACAGTTCAGAGTCAGCTGGCTCAGCCCTCAGCTCTGCTCCAGCGGCCCTTTGCTGGTGGGGAAAGCACCAGACCCCCTTATGGCAAGTTTATAAATAATCATTGGATCTTCTTTGCCAAAAAGGGGATTGTCACAAGATCCCCCCACCCCACCAACCATTGCAGAAACCTTGACAGAGGTGGGTTCCAGAGCCAGCGTGTCCAACCTTGGGCCCTCAGAGTCCCACCCTGGACCCTTGGAGTCCCACCCTGAGCCACAGGAAGAGCAGATGGATCTGCAGGGCAACTCGCCCTCAGTCCAACAGTCCCCACGCCGTTCCTGCCCCACCATCCCATCACCGGCACAGCTCTCCCTCTGGCAGGTCTGGCACTGAAACCTCCCTGGCTGGGCCAGTGACCTTCTTGAACCTTCCATGATGCAAGGGCAGAAGAGCTTGGATGCACAATGTGCCCTCATAGCTGGACCCCATTCCATTCCATCCCTCACACCTCAATGTGCGAGACCTCAGCAGACCCAAATTATTCAGCTCCCTTTCATAGAATCATAGAACGGTTCAAGTTGAAAGGGACTTTAAAGATCACTGAGTTCCAACCCTCCTGCCCTGGGCAGGGACACCTCCCACCACACCAGGTTGCTCCAAGCCCCCTCCAACCTGGCCTTGAACCCCTCCAGGGATGGGGCAGCCACAGCTTCTCGGGGCAACCTGGGCCAGGCTCTCACCACCCTCACACCAAAGAAGTTTTTCCCTAGATCTCATCTCAATCTCCCCTCTTTCAGTTTAAAGCTGTTCCCCCTCATCCTATGGCTCCCCTCCCTGATCAAGAGTCCCTCTCCAGCTTTCCTGGAGCCCCTTTAGGGACTGGAAGGGGCTCTAAGGTCTCCCTGGAGCCTTCTCTTCTCCTCACAGCAGAGGGACTCCAGCCCTCGCAGCATCTTCGTGACCCCTTCCCTTCCCTGAACCATGCAGGAGCCAGCTCGGTGGCCCTCTTGCTTCTGTACCCAAGACCATGCTCGTTTCCACCTCTCCTCTGCTTGAAAGCCCTTTCCCCACCAGTGACAGCCCCATCAGCTTCCACTTACCGGCAAGGATCTGGAAGACTCCAGTAATGTAGAACCGTCCGCCCTTGGTGAGCGTGAACAGTTGGCAAAAGAACAGGAACAGGGACAAGACACTGAAGATGATGGAGAGGATCATCATCGCTTGGACCGACTGCAGCCATTCTGGGGAAAGACAGACAGAGAGAAACTTCAGTGTGGGGACCACAGAGAGCAAGCCCTGACCACGGCATCATCCCCCATGCCACCATCCCACGTCCCCCAGCTACTCAGTGGCCATATCCAACGCCTCTCCAGCTCCTCAGCATTGGCATGATGCTGCCTGGGCTTTAGGAGGACACCAATGTGCTGGGGTAAAATGAACCTCAGGACCACACGCTTTCACAGGGAGCATTTGTTATAAAATATGAGCAGAGATACCAACCCCGATCTGAAGCCTGCCAAAATCAAGACAAAGCCTCTCCCCCAGCTTCAGGTCAGGCCCTGGGAGTCCAGCGGGACTAGAAACACAAAAGCCACGTGCAACACGCCGTGAGACACCGAGCCGGCCAAGCTCAGAGGTAAAATAAATAGACAGCAAGTGAAAACACCCTCTTGCCCTTGTGGAGTCAAACCTTTCGGAAAGAGCCTTCCCCAGCTGCCAAGCGCAGCTGCCTCCCAGAGCAGACCAGTTAAACCAGCCCCGGTGTGAGTCACTGCCCAGCTATTTCAGGGCTTCGTGGGTGTGTAACTTCCAGCGTAAAAAAAAAAAAAATAAAAATAAATAAATAAGCAAGCAAAATGCCGCTCCATCCCCTGAGCTGGGGATTGACAGAGAGAGGCCGTGCTGTGCTCACAAATATCTCTGCCTTTCCCTTTCCTTATAAAGTCTGAGATCAAAATGAGGATTCACAGCTTTCCTGGAGGGGTCTCTAAGGAGCCAGCATTGATTAATTCACCACAAAAGCCAGGCAGCACTCGGTACAGGTAAACTGAGGCACAAACCACCCGGTGAAAGGCGGAAAAGTCATGCTTTGGGCAGGATTAGGCAGCACTGAAGTCTCCGTCCCAGCCCCATGTTCCTGCTGCAGTTTTACTGCCACCAGCTTTGTTCCCCTGCCTGTAAGAAACGGGCTTTCTGCGGCAAATAGCTGAAAATGAGCAAAACTTCCAAATAAAGGCACACTTCTGCTGAGCAACCTGCAGCTAATGAGGCCATTTGGGAGTGCCCGGAGCAGCATCTGCTCCCGGAGAAGTGACTGCTCTTCCCCACCAAACCCTCACAAGGTGCATTCATGGAGGTGAGAGCGGGATTTGAACAGGAGAGGGAGGTACAGCCCTCAGCCAGGAGGGTGGTGATGATCCATGCCTGAGTCCTTCCAGGAATTCCATGCCTGCAGGGAATATCCTGTGGGATTTAGTAACTGTTTTGCCTGTTTGACTTTAGAGCATCAATTCTACCTCTTAACTTTCCTCTAGATGCTCACGCAATGGAGACATTTCAGGCCCCGCTCACCAAAGTGGCCTGAAACCACCCGGAGCAGCCTCTGCTCATTGCAGACATAGAGCCATAGAATCACGTGCATTGGAAGGGACTTTTAAGATCTTCAAGCCCAACCATCAACCCACCACTGACAAACCCACCACTAACCCATGTCCCTCAGCACCACGTCTGCCCAGCTTTTAAATACCAACTGGGCAGCCTCTTCCAAGGCTTGACAACTCTTTCAGTGAAGATATTTTTCCTAATCTCCACCCTAAACCTCTCCTGGTGCAACTTGAGGCCGTTTCCTCTTGTCCCATCACCTGATCCTTGGGAGAAGAGACCGACCCCCCCTGGCTACACCCTCCTTTCAGGGAGTTGTAGAGAGCAAGAAGGTCTCCCCTCAGCCTCCTTTTCTCCAGGCTGAACACCCCCAGCTCCCTCAGCCTCTCCTCACAAGACTTGTGCTCCAGACCCCTCACCAGCTCCATTGCCCTTCTCTGGACATACTCTAGCATCCCAACGTCTTTCTTGCAGTGAAGAGCCCAAAACTGGACACAGCACTCGAGGTGGGGCCTCGCCAGTGCCAGCTTTTTCCTCCCCCTCCTTTCCATGCTTCCAGCACCAGACCACTCCACAGCATTAACAAGCCCAGCCAAAGAGCTGCTGCACTTCACCCATTCCAGTGCCACCAGGTTTACATCCACATCCATCAGTTGCTGCCATTCCTTAGGGAGGAGCAGCTATCCTTGCTGTCACTTTCAGGAAACCCCAGTCTGGCTTCCACGCTGACCTGCACACAACATGTCCCATGTATTTCAGCTATCATCTCAGCTGCCCAGGCAGGGGAACCCCCTGCCCCGACCACACTTGAACCCTTCAGCTCTGCCCACACTAGACCAGTGGGCAACAGAGGGGATGAGGCAGCTCATACGCTGTGAAAAATCAAGCCATAAATCATTGCTTCAGTGGGGACAGAGAAATATGATTTGAAGACATCCAGCTGCTGAACTGAAATCTCCTTCCACCCTTCAGCACTTCCCACCCCAGCTTTGGGAAATGGAGCTCTTGTCTCACCTTCTCCTGAGCCCTAAAGCTGGGTCCAGCTCCTTGCACCGGCTGAGCCAAAGCCTGCCCAGCCCCAAGCCCTGCCGTTTGGTCCAGGACCTGGGAAACCAAGTCTTTTGTGATTTCAAAGGCCATGGGATCCGGCCCAGAGAGGAGCCCTTTCTGCTCGGAGGTGGATGCTCCAACTGCCGGTTATTTTAGGAGAAGGCTGTCTAGACGGAAAGCTGAGCCGAGCTGCCCTTTTAATTGCATCCGCCTCCCCGTGCCTCTTTTTTGGTTCTGAATGTGAATCATTTATATAGGTTTTTCCAAATCCCATTGTAATAAAGAGCCGTGTCAGAGGAATATAAAGGCAGGCACTGGGAGGGGGGGGGGGGGGGG